TCGCTTATGTAAAACTTTAATAATATCATAACAATTTAAAACATTAAATTAAATTCTAATAAAATCACTAAATATCCAAAACCGATTTAGTCAAGCCATTTTTTCCTCTTCAAAGACCTTAAAATCATTATCTCATGATTTTATCAAAACCATGATAAACAATATTATATATAATAGTCATATCAAGGTCATGATAAATAATATCATACATAATAGTTATATCATATTATTTTTCATTCATATACAATACAAAACTTTCATATCTCATTTTCATCTTTCACTTTCATATTCACTTTCACATTTCATTTTCATAATTTGCACTTTCACATTTTAGAACTCATTCTCAGATTTAGAACTTGTGTCCGGACTCATAACTTATTTCAGATTCATAACTTAATTTCAGATTCATAGCTTATTTTCAAGTTCATAGCCTAATGCATATTTATGAGAATACAAGGTACTTGAGTCAGACGAGTGTGCGCAATAAACACTTCAGTGCTATCATCAAAATCAAACTATGCACTCCATGTGCAATCATATCACTTGCATCAGCGGTGCTATACATATTGTACACAAATGTACCATATCATAATCATAATCACTCCACCTCATGTCATACCAATTGTACATACGACTCTCAATGCAACATACAATGAACTTTTATATTAATTATTATATGTTATAGAATTATCAAATATATCAATATCTTAACATACTCAACCTTTCATATAATAACATGATGGGTAGTTCATACCCTAAATCATTCATAAAACTTTATAGAAATGTCATGGGAATAATCCATAATAAAAATAAAAATATACTTTAAAATAATATGAGACTGACTTATCACAAGTCGTCCGTGATCAGAATGATTAAATAAATAAATGCACCTACTTATTATTACTTTCTCTTTTAAAAATATAAATATTGTATTTCCTTGTATAATAAATATCATAATTTATCATGCCAATGTAATAACATTAACTCATTTCAAACGATCTAAGATAACATATATCATTAGAGTATCATAACATACATAGTTTATCACATTCTAAATTTTATTTTATATTATGGCAATTTGCACTACCTTCAAATAAATATTATTTTGTACTAATCTACACACTTAAAAATTGTTCCGTTTATACCACTGGAAACTAGACTTGAATAAAAATATAACCACATAAGGTAATCCTTCTAGCTCGTCTTGTACAATTTATAGTGAATTTTCAAAATTGACTTGCAGAAGCTTTTTTTTAGCAGAATTTGCTGCCTTATTTTCTTACTTATCCTCGATTAAAAATTCATATCTTTATGTATATTTGTTGAAATCAATATCCATTTGTTCTCAACAAAACTAGACTGATATATGAATCCAAAGGCATAAAAATCATCCCCTAATCATTTATATAAAATTTATGGTGATTTTCTAAATTTACTGTTCAGAACACAAATCTGGGCAGATTTTACTAACTTATATTTTCAGCTTATTCACTAATTTTATTAGCATACCAAATGAACATATATGCATGAATCACACAATTTTATAACATTTAGGAGTCACTTCTTACCATAGTAACTTTGTTACTGGTTTATCTCAAGCCAATGTTTGCAAGATATCATAAATACAAATTAAATATGTACTCACATGGTGTCCTTAGCTTGTAAACCTTCCTTAGTAATTCACGTTTCATCCTTAAGCTTCTCCTTAGTTTTAATGTTGTTTGATCTTGAATTCAAGCACACAATATAAATGAGCATCATTGACACAACATAAATAATTCGAGTCACATGTTAGAATCTTACAAACATGAGCACATACTAGAAAATAAATTTCTAAAAATCTTTCGATATTAGTTCCATGTCATGAAATCTATGTCGACCTTAACACTTCAAGTTGACCATTCAATTCCCCTTCCTAATTTCATCAAAACTTCACATAGTATTTTCACTTTCCACTTTAACTACTAATTATGAATTATTTTAGAATTCATCTCAACTTTTCCATTTTATTCTAAATAGTCATTTCCCCTTTTACTTCAATTCAAGTCTTAAACAACTTAATTAAATTTCCAACATCTAATTTACAACCAATACTTCAAGAATTCCATTATTTCCACTTAAGCCACTAAGTTTCTCAATATTTGCCATTTATTACTCAAACTTTGATAACTTCACAAAATAGTCAAATTTCACATTCTAACACCAAATTCATCACTCTAACATTAATTTCCAGCATAGTACTTAATGTATTGAATAATTACACATAAACCCCATAAATTTTCAAAATTTCCAAATAGTCCTTCGACTTTCACAAAATTACAAAAGGTCCAAAAAATTTTCTAAGGCTTGTAGAGTCAATCTTACATCATTTCCAACCCATACATAATTGTCCATAATTTTTCTCACTACCAAATGCTTAGGCCGAATATTAAGGGGTAGATTTCCATGATTTTCACTTGATTTTAATTGATTCAAGCATGAAATCAACATTCAGCATTTTAAAACCTCTACAATCAAACCCTAACTCAATTTCATCAAAGCATAAGATTCCCCTAAATTAGGGTTTAGGCTAAAAATCGATATAGCATTCCTAGGTGATTTTGATCATCAAACAAGATTGGAAATAATTCTACAGCCTTAACAACCTCAAAATCCATCATCAATTCATAAAACCCTAACATGAACATAAAACCTAAAATTTGGGAACTTAACATTCATGCAAGATTAGCGTGAAATAATGGTACCAAAGATAGAGCTCTTCGAATAGAACAAATTTCTATTTCACAGTTCGATCCAAAATCCAAAGGAAATTGCTAAAAAATGAAAAATAAAATTTCTCTTACCTAAGTTATGAGGAGCACAAAATGGAGGTTGAATAAGACCTTATTTTCATGAAATATATAGTTAATTTTATGTTAAATTGTCATTTACTAAGCTTAAATGAATTTAAAATTTATTTAATTAAGAAATGACAATTTTACCATTAATGAAACTTGATATTTACATCCATACAAAGCCACATGTTGATTATCATCTTCCAAAGTTAAAGACGAACAAAATATTATACCCTTGACAAATTTATCCGTGCAACTTTCCAAGAATTTCAATCTTGTCACTTTCATCCAACTGTCCAAATTGAACATGGAAATAAATTCTCAAATCCAATGGTCCATATTATTTCCCATCATTTTAAAATGTAAAAATAATATTTCTAAAGTTTAATTTAATATCATTCAAATTCTCTCAAAATTTCTATTCGATCCAATTTACCGAATTGTTACCAAACTTTGACACTTTATAGCTTTTAATATAAATTTCGGATAAAAAATCTAATTCCTACAAAAATTTCATTCTTGGAGTTGTTATGGGATAAAACGCCTAACTTTTGAAAATTACATTTTTGGTCCCTAAAATATTGGAAGATTACCATTTTGGTCTCTAAATTTTCTAAACTTTATACTTTGGTCACTAAACTTTCAAATTTTACATCTTGGTAACTAGAAAAATTTGGATTTTTACATAGAATATATCCATAATTATAATGAAAATTTACGAGTATAATGTAAACTAAATTATAATTAGGACATTTTCCTATAACCATTAACACAAACTAGCTACCTAGATCACAAAAGGACCATAAAAGGAAAAGGTTAAAAAACCTAACCAATGCTCGAACAAAACAAAGATATAAACAAATCTGACTGCATCGACAAACGAACCGCAAAAGGGGACGAAACTACTGAAAGACCACAAACAAATCACAAATAAGAGTCAAATGACGTGAGAAAACTATCCACGAGCGCAAAACGCATATCCAAATCAATCTGAGAGTCCAAAGCAGGGAATATCAGCAGGATAAAAAATAAGTGTCATCTTGATCAGTCGTGGCAATGTCAAATCAAACAATGTGAAAAAAGATAAACTAAAAAACGACAAAAAATCGTAAGCTACCAAAGGCAGAGAAAAATGCCACAAAGACAGAGATAAACTTGTCATAAAGACAGAGATAAACTTGTAATAAAGGCAGAGAACATGTCACAAAGACATAATTATTCTTATTAAAAAAAACTAAAAAAAATATAACTGGCGGGCGACAACCACTATCAAAACTGGTGCCGCTGGTTAAACAAAATTAAAGAAGAAAAAGTTAGATTGATCAATAAAATTGACACAGTTATAAAGAAAAAAAGGAAGAGAGAGGAGCGGGAAGAAAGCGGCTTAGTCCATTATATTTTATCTGTTAATATTTAATATATTGATTATCATTTTTAAATGTAAAAATAAACTTGTAAATAATTATGAAACTTATATTCGATGATAATGAACAAAAATAATGGAGAAAATATTTTTTTAATATTATGAAAGGATTATAAGATAATATCTATTCATTATCTTTCTTAATTATTAACAACATATAGACTCTACAAATACAAATGTTCAAACCCATAAACTCAAGAAAATTTACACTCTTTTAAACCACTTGACATTGAACGCTCACACCCTAATATTCCTGTTGCTCGAACCTAAAACCTCAATGAATAATAACAATTCATTTATCATTAATATTTTATCACTCAATGGAGAAAAAGTTAACCATTTTATCGGTGGATAGAAATTAGAACACAAAATGCGTTCAACGTTTCATCAAAACATATCTACACGACGCTTGAATTCATGGAAAAGAAGATTATGAAAATTGGCCCACCATCAACAAATTAAATCTTAATAAATAATTCCATTTGTTTATAAAATTAAAATTAACAAATTGAAACAAGACCTATTTGAACAATTTTTTTTATAAATTTATATGCACACTTCTATAATATATATCCTATTAATGGTCCTTGACTTGTATTTAAGATCTATTTTAAGCCGCTTATTGGATCTATTCCAAATAACTCCAACCCAAAACAGTCCATTTAACTGGCTTTTGTAACGAACAGATTAGCTTCCAAGGAAATGAATATGAAATTCTCTATTAAATGGTTGAGGTAGAAGCGTTTTGATCAAAATCAAGACTAAACAAAGCCTATTTAGGAGTTTTTTTTTATTATTATAAAAAACACTTGACACACCAATGCTCTGGGGGCTATAGGGATAACCAGGTCTATTTTAATAGAGAGCGGCATCAGCATCGCAGCCATTCCATCTAACTATTAGTTCAGCAGCTAAATTGAGGATGGCAGAGGAATCCCCAACATCCAAGCTTAAATCATTAACAAATATGTTTTTAGTGCCCTTTAAAACGAAACTGAATGTCACTCATAGTCAGAAGTGAGAACAAATGTAGTGCTGCAGCGGAAAAGTACCTAAATGGCTAGTTCCCTTGGCCTTGATCAAATGTTCATGGGTTCGGGGGTAGGAGAATTAAGAATATCCAGCAACGAATTCTGGGGTTCCAATTCCTCATGCCACAACTGCAGTTTGTCACCAGGGTAAAAGTTCCTTGTCACTCCTTCAGAATTGATCTGCAACGCAACACAAAAACAAGGTCAGATCAGATCTGCACACAGAATTCACATTACACATGCAAGAACCATTCGTTTAGAAGTGCAAAAATATCTTACCACCACAGTGCGAACAACACCCCCACTAGCACCATCACGAGCAATGGCAAGGGAAACTGCCTTAACCACTAATTGCTACATTGAATTTGTATAAAACAATTCATAATGAAGTTAATGGTGGACCAACCAATAAGTATTTTTATAAAATATCCACGAAGCTGTTAAAAGAATTAGAAAACATTTGTCAAGTCTGACTAAAACAAAATGTACCTCGGCTTCATCCTTCGTCATTCCTTCCTTCCATGCCTGATCAAAAAACCCATACAAGTAACTGGAGCCAGATCCTGCACAAAGAAGGTCAATCCAAATCATAACTATTTTTCAGCAGAAGTAGTGCACCGCTTGCTAATGGCACCCATTGTTTCTTAACCAAACTCCCAATAATTTAGGTTCATTTTAGGAACTAGGTGATGTACAACTTTGAAAACCAATAACTAGAGGGGAGAAAAAAGGTTAATCTTATTTCATTGGTAATTAGTTAAGTAAATACGGAGAAGACTTTACAAATTTTACAACCGACTCTTGATTACAAGGGAATGAGTATATTTAGCCAAAAATTCTCAAGGTTATAATGACTGCATTGAACCTCCTCCAGCTCCAATTCCTCAGGCTGAACTAAGGAAATAGTGAAATTCAGTCTTAGCAATATGCCAATAAGTAGCTAGGTGAACCTTAGCCAAAAGAAAAAGACCATACAAATGCCAACTATGCATAAAATTGAATACATGTAATTTAATGACTGTAAAACCAAAACAGGTAAACAGGGATCAAGCTTGACTTCCTAATAGAAGGAGAGGATGCTTAAGTTAAAAGATGAAGAGAGTATCATACCTCCAATAGCAAAAGGCTGCTCGATCAGTGTTCCACCAAGAGGAATTCCAAATATTTTACCACCCTCATACTTATCCCATCCGCCAACAATAAGGCCAGTCTCAAGCATGTTCTACTCAAAATATAATAAAAGTGGGTCAACCACATAGATATGAACAAAGGAAGCTGAAAAGTCAAATGCATAATGTTTTGAGAGAATATAGACCAACTTCCATCCTCAACAGAGTTTTAGGGACAATTCAAGGTTGGCAGTTTTACCTTCAAAAAATTGTTACGAAGCTTTCTACTCTTTTATTTTCTCTGTTTCTACCCTTTCTTCTCCTCTTTGGGCACCACAGCTGTTGTCTCTTTTCTTATACATATATTTTATATATTCAATTATATACGTGTTCCTCATATTACTCGTGTGAAAGCTCTTTCTATGCACCTCTAGCAACAAAGGAAAAGGACTCCTAATGCCTAGGGCCCTAGAGTGCTTGCCCCCTTGACTACATTGGTATCGAGTAATACATAAAATTTGTCCAATAGGGAGGGGATGTGTAAAGATGCACTAAATTTACCATGCACACCTTAAAAAAAAGGAGGAATAATAGGATGGGAAAAGGTTGACAAACAAAAAAGTAGCCAAGTAAAATTTCTAATTTGTAAGCTCAAACCTTGTTATTGTAGGATAGTAGCCTGATAAGGTTTGCAGCAACTTTTACAGTTGCAGGTTGCCCAAGCTGAATCCTGTTCATGCAGGGGAAAAGCTATTAAACAATCACTCATAGTAGAAATTTGAAAACAATCATGAATAGTAATGAGAAATGTGAAGAAAGAATAATAACCCAATAATCAGTGATGACTTAAACTTAACACAAATAAGCTAAAACATTTTGTAGGTAGGGATGAGGCGAGAAATAGGTTTATGAACTGCAATCAGGTGGAGGAGTAGAATATATGAGCACATTCATGGATGAACAAAACCTTTAACAGCCTCTTGAAATTTTAGCATTCAAGCCAAGTATTAATACCATAAAGGATGTCCCAAAAGTTTCAAATGGGAATAAAACTTCAATAGGAAGGCAAAGTAGCAAAATTAATTAAAATTTAAAAAGAAGAGATAAAAGAAAAGCAAATAATTAGAGAATGTATAAGAAAGAACTGACGTATGTTGGTGAAGGAAGTAGCGGACATAGTCGGAAACAACCTGAGAATCAGCAGCCTGTAACATGACAGTCGTTTAACTCATCATATCTAAAATATCCAAACGTTCTTTCTTTTTCCCCCCTTTATGGAGGGCAAAAATCCTAAACAAAAGAGTAATATATCACGAGGAAAGAAGAGTTAAGTAAAAGTAAGTATTACGGATCCAGAGCGGCAAACGTAGACGTTATCAGTGAGCTGTGTAATTTTGTCAGATGCTCGGTTAGCAACATACATCCCTAACCAACCAAATAAAAAGATAGGTGCATTATTTAGAAATTCAAATATCTAATAATAAGAGTAAAAGACGGAGAAATAGAATACCAGTGCTGGTACGAGAGTCGGCGCCCAGGACGACACCGCCGTTATAGGTGACTCCGATGATGGTCGTGCCCATTGAGTGAGGGGCGTTCGAGTCCATATTCAGATCCATTTTGGCAGTATCGCGAGACGCAGAGAGAGCGAGAGAGAGTATATACAAGTAACCTGACCGGACCGTACGGGCTTGTTTCTCAAGTTTTCTTTCTGTTTTCATTTCTTTATATTGTTGAACCGGAGTCCGGTTAATCAATCATTTTTAATAATTATATCATGAAACTCTTACTTCAAACAATTTTAAATAATGTAAATTTAAGCATTTTTTTTAAAATTAAACCGTAATTTCATTAATAGAAATTAGTATCAAGAGCAATTATAAAAGCAATATAATTAGAAACAACATTATCTGAAAGAAAATAAAATTGATTAAGGCATGAAATATTCGGTTAACTTCTCGACGAACATAACGAACAATAATATGTGGATGAAATTAATACACACTTTGTTTCAACTAAATAGAACTGATGTTGGTAGCGGATTTAAATTTTTTTTTTTAGGGTGGACACATATTAATAATATGTAATTTTTAAATGATATAACTACAAATAAAATTTTAAGACAGACAATGTCCGTAAAATAAATAACTAATCGAAAAAAACTCAGATTTAAGGACGGTTACAAAAACTCTTACGATAGACATCATCAATAAATAATTAATTAATAAAAAAATTAAAATTTAAAGGTGAACACGTATCTACTCTCATTAAATTGTGGTTTCGTCAATGAATAAATTAATCAATGGTATGATTTTATAATCGATGAATCACATTAAAAGAATGACTCCCAACAAGAACAACAACATTAGAAAATTTCATTTCAGCCGCCATGCGAAGCCATGGTAATTGACCCATGGTAGTAAAATTCAACTAGAAAAGTTGGTCACCGAATGGATCGGGTCGGATTAGGGTATCAAAGATATATTTGCCGGGTCATGGTCCAGAAGTGCTCGTGAGAGGACAATTAACTGTCTTCCCAACCGAAAATAAGGGGAAACGCGTCGTTGTTTTGGATGTGTGGCTCAAGTCTCATTTGTCTCAACTCTCAAAGAGAAATAAATAAATAAATAAATAAATAAATAAATAAAAAGAACCATCTGGAGCTTAGGGCCGGATAAATACTACTCAAGTATGAAGACAGTAGCAACTGCGAGCAGCAATGGATGGAGATGGAGCTTTCTATCTCCACAATTGAGCAGCAGCAGCATCAGGTTTATATTGAGATTTCTTCATCATATTCTTCTGTAAATAAAGTTTATTTCTTTAATTGAACTTCAAATTCCTGCCTGAATTGATCTCTCCATATTAATAGTCCCAGGAAGGCTACTCTCCCTCTTTCCATCAAACTCAGACTACACCCTTATAGAGCCAATAATGGTATTGTGGCCTCCTCTGATGCAAAGCGAGCGAATTTGTCTGCCTCAAGGACCCAAAGAGTTAAGCTTCCGGTTTACGATGACACTCCCGAGGGCAATGTCAGTGGCGGCCAGCCTTACCATATCAGTCAATTTTTAAGCCACCCATCTGGGATTCAAGCTATATTAAACACTAGAGCCTTGGAAAAATTTGAGTTTCTCGACACCAATGCGTACAGGTTAGTTGCCTTTCCCTGCCTTATCTCATACTGCTCACTGCTCGTATTTCTTTGCCATTAAAAAAATTTATTTTCTTCCTGCTCAACTATTCTTTTACTGTTCCATGATCCCATCCCCTTGCTTTCCAGGTGCACACTTCCAAAACTTGCGCTCTTCAACTTTGAAGCAACTCCTGTACTTGACTTACGAGTGATCCCCACAGAAGAAGACTGCACTGTTGAGTTATTTTCTTGCAAGGTGAGCTGATCTTCGATCCTACATTTAAGCTGGGGTAAAAAGTTTGGTTACAGAAAGGAGGAAACGGAAAAAGAAAAGATATGCACAAAGAACTCATTTAGCATTTTCAGAACTGTCAAGGTCGAGGTTATGGAAACGTCTAGTGCAAAAGTGAAAATTTCCCAAAATTTAAACAGATTAATTTATAAAAAAATCACTCCATGGGAAAACATCTTATCTCTATCGTGCTGATTTCTAGTTGCTCACAAGATAGACTACACATTAATACTTAACATCAATGCCAAAATGCCAAGTTCTGCTGTTGTGCTTGTTGGAACTTAGTTTATGATTATAATGAGAATGACAGTCTCTTTTCACTGAATCCAGAAAATGAAAGGTTTGATAAGTATCTAACTTATTCTTTTTGATGACTGGTGAAAATTGTATTTATGTACTTGCTGATAACACTGTATGCAGTTCAAGGGGTCAGAAGTTTTGGAACGTCAAAATGAGCATTTTTCAGGTACTTATGACCTTTGTAAACCTCTGAGCCGGTGTAGATTTGCTTTTATTTAGAGTGATAGATTTTGTTTTATGGAATGCTTATTTAATGGTGCTAATCCTATTTTTTGAAAACGAATAATTTCAAACTTAAAATATATGGCTACAAGTTTTTTTGTTACAATAGACAAGATTCTGAAGGTCATCCCTGGTGCGATAGTCAAGTGTCTACTTGCTATCTGCTAGCTTACGGTTTCAAACCCTGGAAACAACCTCTGTGAACAGGGGAAGGCTGCATACATTGGGACCTACCCCTGACCCTGCTTATAGCAAGAGCCTTGCGCATTGGTTATGGGTTATATATGTAGGCAAGACTTCATTCAGTTGTATCCTTGATAAAAGAATTAAGATGGAGGGCCTAGGAAGGTGTTTCTTTGCAGCTATTTAAGAATGCATGTTATGTTATGTATAGTGAGTAATTGGTACGATTTTATAACTATTGATGTTGCTTTCAATTTTGCAGCTACCATGACAAATCATATTACTTGGGACACAAATATTTCTGAACCAGTTTTAGAGGTTGATGTGAAGTTGAACCTAAGTCTTGAGGTTGTTATCTTATTGGCTTGATAGCTCATGGTAGTCACCTGGAAGTTAAATTTTTAATTCTGCCCTGTGACAAATCACTGTTTTTTTGGGTTGTCCATATGTCCAGAATATCCATATATATATCAAAAAATCTAGAATCACTAAATTTTAAATTTACCAAGTAACTCTGAAATTGGCTTCAGATGTCACTGAATCTTTAATAAAGTCAAAGTCTATTTTTTTTTTTGGAGGAGGAAAGGGGGAAGAAAGGGAAGTTAGGGGAGGAGATACCTTACTTTGGAAGATAAAGGCTCGATTCAGAAAACGAAAACAAAAATGGCCTTTGTTTTATGAAACCAATCACAGCCTAAGTTTTGGTAGTGTGGAGATGATGGCAATCATTATGAATCTTCTCTTCTACATAGCATGAGTAAAAAGCCTCTTCCATGTCTTTCGGTAGCCCCTTTGGATCCTCCCACTTTTGACTCCTACCAAGGCTAGTCTAACTGTTGCAGGGGTTTGGTTCTACTTTTTAACTGAGCAGCAGTCAACAAGGGAGGACTAAATGAACTATTTAAAAAATAAGCAGCCTTGCTACAAATCTTGGTGGATGTATTCTGTTCACCGAAATTTTAGTTATTGATACATTAAGAAATTTCAATCTCCCTAGCAATCATACTTTTAATCAGTTTGCCGGAATGAAAAGTTTGGTCTAGAATCTAGAGTCTAGTTCTGGCTTCTCAACCATAGAGGAAGCAAACATCATCAAATAGCCCATCAAGCGTCTCAACTAGCAGTTCTGTCAGGTTTTTGAATTTCAAGATTCTAGATTTAGCTCATATGTCAAGCTTCATCGGGAATAAGGCTCATATGACTAGGTTTATATTTTACTTCTCTAGAATCTTGATTGGAGTCATATTGTTTTAGAATATCAGCGTGATAATATGATTGTATTCCTGTTTTAAGCATGCTAGTTTCTTTAATTATTTCATCTTTGTTGCTGCTTAGGTGGTTGTCCTTTCTTTCACACTGACAACACTGTAATGATGCTGACTTTGTAAACAGGTTTACACGCGACCATTTATTTTGCTGCCAATTTCAGCTGTTGAGGGTCCAGGAAATGTGTAAGTATGCTTTGTTTAATTGCGGCACACAGATGCTTGGGTTAAGTATATGTATCCTATTCTCTATCCATATGCACATTTTATAGCTTCAAAGAATTTGTCTAAGAAGGCTTGCAAGAGATTAAAGGAGCCTCTCTATTTATGTTATTATTTCAATTAGTATCTTCATTTAATATGTATTTATATTGAAGAATGATTAGTAGGCTTGATTAAGTTGCATCGCGTAGTTGCACAGAAACTTAATCCCGTACCTCGGGTTGCTTATTAAGATAAACTGCAATTAGTGTAGGAGGGATTTTCATTTTTTTTACTCGCCAATATTTCCATGTAATATCATAGAATGCAATTGTTATCATACAGAATGATGCAAGCTCTACTGGATAGACTTGTTCCTTTGCTTCTTCAGCAACTAGTGGAAGACTACAAGAAGTGGGTTCAACTTCAAAAGCAGCTGATAAATTAGATTATTTGTTCATATTGGCAGGTAAACCTTCCCCCTTGCACCCGTTAATTTATTTCCTTAGTGTTCTTCTCGGTTTAGTCTCATGATAATAGACGTGATGTAATGAAATATGTTAGTCTGCTATTTCTAGTAATAGCATTCACTTATCTTAATAAAGGTATTGTTTTTATTAGATGTCGTATCCTTATTGATAATTGATACAGGCGAACTGATGAAGGCAGGTAAGGGATAGAACATAATTAGACCCAGCTAGAAGCTTTTTCATACGGGCTTGGGTTTATGTATACCAACTCAATCAAATCTTTGAACTTCGTACTTGTTTATATGAGTTGTATTGTGATAGGAATGTTGTTTTTAGGAGAGTTTGGCCTCGCTACTGGTAGTTTGTAGCCTTTCGTGATTTGTATTCAATTCCTTGAATGAGTCAATTTGTTGTTGTGGATCAGAATTTTTGAGTTCATGAAGATGCTGAAAATTTGCATGTAGATAGGGCACCAACACCAAAGATTCGGACATTCTATAGATGAGGACGGGGGTACAATAGTATTTACTCCGGCAGCCTTCATTAACTAATATTATTAGCAGCAAAATTATCCGTCATTCAAGAGCCAACATAGTATGAATGTATTATGTATACATAATCTTGTTTGTAGTTGGAATCATCATATAATGATCCAAAAGAAGAAAGAACCCGCACATACAAACTGATATGGCATCTCTGTATCCATAGGGTAGCACGTCAAAGTACAAACTAAGCTTTATCTGGTTAAATTCATTTGAAAGCCGGATCATTCAATACTCTGGACCGTTTTTGTTTTACAAACAATTTGATAAACATCAACCACAACACGATAACAGTCTCGAAAGGAAACACAATCAAAAATTGCCGACTGTTACCGCCTCTTGCATGCTGTTAGCGGTCAAGGACAGGCAGCCAGCTACATCTGAAATCAATAGTGTGATGGTTTCTCCATTCTTGACGCATGAAACTGCTACGGAAATATAACAAAAAGCCGGTAGTACAGCAGAGGAAGTGTCACTCATGCTTAACGGTGTTGCCCTCAGTACTGATACCAGATGCTTTCCACATTAGCCAAATACTTTAGAACGAACCTTCACATCTATTTCAGAAAAAGCCGGCACAGCCTTAGTCTGCAGGCTCTCGTAATTGAGGAAAAAGCAAGAAAAAGAAAACCAAGTTTATAGAATAACCTACCATTTAGCAATTGCATCACTTGGACATTTCAATTTGAGATTTCGAAGATGCTCTCTTGATCTTATATCAGCCTACATAGCGAATGCAAGTCTAGTCTTGAGTATTTCGTACCACATTTACAAACAAATAAAAAGACGCTCCGTAGTAGTTGTAATAATAATAATAATAATAATAATAATAATAATAATAATAATATAATAATAATAATAATAATAATAATAATAATAATAAGATTTAATGTGAAAATAAGTGTCCAAATTATACCTAAAATTTTAGGTGCATAAAGAATTTTTCGTTAAAAATAGATACCTAACGCTTCTAACGTTATACTTTTAGGTGTTTAGATTATAACCACCGTTAAATTTGACCGTTAAGTGACATGTGTCACTTTTATAAGATTTTAATTTTTTTATTTAAATTAAAAACTTAAAATTATATATTTTTTAAAAACCCAAAATTTTATCAAATTACAAAAAAAAAACTAAATGTTCAAAATATCTAATTTCAATTCCCCTCAACTTTACCGCCCTCCACCAACGCCGTCGATTGGTACAACGTCGCTGGCCAAAACCCCATCTGTCGAAACACCTTCTATCCCTAAAGTTGCTGTCAAAACCCCTAAATTTTAATACCCAAATCCCTAAATCAAAATCTCAAATCCCTAAAAATCAAAACTCAAATTGCAAAATCCCAGCTGGATTGAGAAATCTACTTGTCGGTGTTCATACGCGGGGTTAAGAGCCAAAAACGAAGAGGGGAAGGGAAATTGCCGCTGGGGGGAGGCACGGGGGGTTTAGGTTTTTTTTCCTTCTATTTTTAAACAATATTTTCTTTTTAAACTTTAAAAAAAATATATACTGATAACGATATTTTAACAACCATTACGGTCCAAACACCTGAAAGTGCAAAGTTGAAAATGTTACTCTTATTTTTAACGAAAAATTCTTTAGCACCTAAAGTTAACTTTAGGTATAGTTTGAACATTTAATTTCACATTAAGCCTAATAATAATAATAAAGGTTAAGGGGCTGTTTGTTTAGCTCTGAATGGAACCATTCAACACTGAATGTTGAATCGCTCAACATTCAGACTGTTTATTTCTCACCTCTGAATGATTCAGTGTTGAATGATTCAGCAAAACAGTGCTGAATGATTTAGCATAGAAGTACATTCTGAATAATTCAGAGTCATTATCAAACAGCATGTCATATTCAGAGCTAATTCATACAGAGCCTCTGAATCATTCAGCATTTGAATCATTCAGCATTTGAATCATTCAACATTTGAATCATTCAGCGCTTAATCATTCTGAAGTAAACAAACAGCTTCTAAGTTTCTTATCTAAATAATTGATCCCAGAGACTAGCAAAACTATATCAAAATACTGAGAGGAGTTTAATATTGCAAAATTTCTTATTCAGATACATCTTGGTTCACTTGAAACCATTTTACCAGGCATGCTAATTTTCCCAAGAACAAATTCATAATTTTACCAGAAAACAACAAACTCAGAATTACCTGCCTGATGGGCTCCGGCACACGAAATTTGAATGTCATATTTACAATATTGATTGCAGTTTCAAGTGATACTCTATGACCAATTGAAACAAATACAGGCTTTAGTGAACCTCGATTTGATCGCATTGCCTATTAATAAAAGAAAAAAGTACGGTAAAAATTTGGGACCATAAAGCTAACTTTTGTACGTCCATATTTCAATTCTCTACTCCCTGAACTTAAGAAAAGGAACGAAAAAACAAGCGACTTAGCATTGCAACATACTGATATCTGTTATATTTCAACATTCTACAGGTTAAAGAAAAAAATTACAAGTATCTTTAACATGCTGCAAAAAAGTGGAAGCATCTCAAAGTTGAATAAGAATTATAGACTGCAGCATTAAATAAATCAGAAGGTACACCTATATGCTAGTAGATGTGCTAGATAGCACATGGAATTAAATAAAAACTCTCAAGGTATACTAAATGAATGATTACGGCTTACAACTTATTTACTTTTAAGGATATGCAACCCAGTGACTTTGCAAGAAAATATTATATCTGCTCATGCTACGGATAGGAATACCAAGAAAAAACAAAACAACCCTGCTTAACTTCTTACCGCCCCCCAGATGAATCCTGAGTTGCCTTAAAGTAATAATGCCTTTGGCTCTGTTTTCTTACCCCAGATTGAGTAAGACCATCAACATGATGCAGCTGAAAAGGATAAAATATATTGGCAGTGGACATATGTATATTGTTTATTTGTATATATGAATGTTTGTTCATTAAAATCACGAATAAGATATAATAGTATTTAAATCAATAGTAGATGCAAACTCATATTCTTTCCAATACCAATGGTCGGAATATCAGCAATAACACCTACATGAGAGACCAAACCAAAACCTGGACAAGGAAAAACTCAACGTACAAAAGAGATGATAACTGATAAAGGCACCAAATAGAGTAAAAGACTAACTTGCCTCGAGGGTGAAGTAATCCATTACCATCCACCATAAGTACCTGCAGAATTCATCCACGAATTAGACAACAAAAAGGAGATGATGAACAATAATGAATAATGAAAAAACTAAAATTTTCAATCTGAAATACAGAGGAGAGACCTGAGGATAGAAAGGACTTGCATCATTTTTCATCTTCTCCAAGAGATGTACAAGAATGGGAGCCTTGAAAAAGAAAAGGTTAAATGGGCTGAGTTAAATAGTTGAAAGAGTGAAAGAAGACTTGGTCAATAATGAGTCCCACGACAAGAGAACCAGGGAGGCTCAAAGATATTGTGTGTGATATTATGGAGGTATATACAATGGGGATTCTTTTAGATATATCATCCAAAATAGACAAATAGCCTCTCAGAGCATATTTATTTCCAATTTTCAAATAGCCAAATACTCACCTTTTCAAAAAATTATCCAATTTGTAACATGCTACAAAATAGTTGGCCCAAGATAATCAATGATGATATGAAAATGAAATTGGATTAATTTAATATTCAATAAAAACATGTATTCCAAACTTAGATTTTCAGAAAACAAAACTAAGCAAAATTTAACAAATAGTTGGTCTCCTGTACATTCCAAAGCCTCACTTAACCCTAGTGGCATGTGTCAAAACAAAAATCAAAATTAGCCCAATTGCAGATAGTATTAAGTGTATCAAAACCATCCAGATGGTGCAACGTCAAGAACAGAAATCATTATTCTAAACTGGAGGAATAGTTTGAACCAATGTCCTTTGTTTCTCTGACATATTTATTGCAGGATAAGTAGATTCCTTGCTACACCCAAGTTCTCTATGGCAGTTAATGGAGGGTTTGTAGGATGGTTAGACAACGGGACCAATCTCTCCATATTTGTTTGTCATGGCTCTGAATGTGCTATCCTGCCTTTTGAATCAAGTAACTGCATAATTCCTTATAATCCTAAGTATGAGAAAATGAGGCTCAAACATTTGTGCTTCATTGAAGAGTTGTTAAGCTTCAACAAATAGACGAGTGAATTTGTTGAAGCCGTAACCATCTTATTGGAAGTTTTCCATGTGAGTTCAGGTTTCTAGTTCAATTGTTCCAAAAGTGAAGATATATATTGCAAGGACAAGTGATGAGATGTTTCGGGACATAGCTACAAAGATTAGGTTCAAGCTTGGAACTCTACCTATAACAAACCTAGGTATAAGACTGCACTACGAAACTTAGGGACAGATTGTGCTCCTCTGGTGGACAAAATACGAAAAAGGGTCAAGAGTTGAGCAATCAAACACCTATCCGTTGCAGGTTCTCAGCATTTTATTCAGTCTGTTCATTTCAATATCTGAACTTTGGAGTAAAAACCTGTTGCTACCAACCAAAGTCACAACTAAGCAGTGCTTTCTCATGAAAAAAAAATGAAGGATGTGCATAAAGGGGCAGAGATAGTTGGCATGCCATTGATTATACTAAGGAGAAGGTGGATTGGGTCTAAAAGACTTGTACAGTTGGAAAGCATATGAGAAATCTCTGGATGGTGCTCACCCAAGGTAGGTCACTTTGAGTTGCTTGGATGGAAGAATGTGTTCAGAAGGCAGGAATGTCGTGTATCTGCCTTGTTCACAGAGGTATGGCTGGGATGAACTAAGCTATTGAATTAAGGAGCCTGGCAATTAGATTCATATAGCAACAAGAAGATGGAATTGGCATTGTAAGGATGACATTTGGGGCCAGCCTAAAGCAGCAACTATTTGGCATGAGTTAAGGCATAAGAAAGACAAGGTGGGCTGACATAGGTAAAGTCATTTTCAAATTCCCACACACTCATTTATCTCTTGGCTAGCTATAATGGATGTTTTGCTCACTAAGAGTAGGATGAGGCAAGCAATTACCCTGGAATACCAGGGACTTTGAACTCAAAGCAGATATGGTGGGATAATCCTCTCCACTTATGGAATCTGCAGAGTTAGTTCATGGAAGGAAGAGCTATATTAGGTGGTGAGGAGCATCACAATGAAAGCTATTATTTAGTACTTCTACATTTAGATTGGCTCGGAATGCTCCGAGGAATAGAAGACTTCATGACAGCATCGGGAATAACAAGCAATAGCTAGTATAATCGTAAATGTCGTAAATGATAGATTATCAGGCACAGTAATCAACACTAATTGATTTGTTGATTGCATAAGTAACTAGCATTGTACAGGATGTAAATACCAATAGCAGTTTTCTCTGTTAATAGATAGATAAAAATAAAAATAATAACAAGACATAAATTCTTAAATAAGTATTGTGAAGTTCATGAGTAAAGCGATTTATACGATGACAAAAAAAAACCCCAAAGCCGCGAATGAAAATCAAAGATGTTACCTCACGGAAGGCAAGGAAGCCTGGGACATAAGGAATGTCAATTCTGTCGCAGGTATATTCCTGATAAACGAGGCGTAGATCATTAAGGAGGTCCAAAACCACCAAACTCCCACATGCCATAGATGGATCTTCCTTGGAGAAGCTGACGTCCACTCCTCCTACGTACTTGAGGTGCTGCTGCTGCTCTGTCTGTGACTGTGGAGAGGGCAATCTCCATGGGAAATCATCCACCGTAATGACTCTCTTCTTCAACGTATCTTGAATCCTGTCATTTCAACAACTCCTCTATTTTACACGGTTACCCAAATCCAATCAACACAGTTACAATTTACAATTACATACTCCGTCCGTTTGCCCGATTCAGCCAAACAGGGACCTTCTCGTGCTCCCTCTGTCTCGTTTATCTCTTCCATTTTCTACCTCCACTACCGTTATTCAAAACTTCAGATCAGAATTGCTTACTGATCTTAGCAGTTTCTTCCATTTCTTTATGGAAAATAGAAATGTCTTCTTATGCTTTAATTTTTCACGCCTCAAAAATTGCCTCGAAATTTAAAAGAAAAATCGCGAGAAAAATTGTAAAAGCTTCGGGAGGAGAAAGACTAAAAGGGGGGTGGGAAAGGAAAGGGAAAGAAAAGAAAAGAAAGGCGAAGGAACGACACGCGCGTTGATTGATGATGGAGTCTTTAACTTAATATAAGAATAAATTTCTAAATTATATTTAAAATTAACTTTTTTGATATTTAAAAATTTTCTCGTTAAAATTAAATGTTTAAAGTTTATCGTTATATTTTAAGTGTTTATTATTAAAAAAATTTATTAAATGACACATATTACTTTAAGATCTTTTTAAAAATATTTTTAAATAATCTTTTATTTTTTAAAAAATAAAAAAATATAAATATGATATTTGTTATTTAACGATTTTTTAATGATGAGTATCTAAAAGTGTAACAAAAAAATATTATATACTAAAAATTAATTTTAGATATAGTTTAAATATATTTTTTATATTAAGAAAAAAAATAAAGAAAATTTTTTACCTAGGTATTTTTACCCAAAAATCACACAAATATATGTTATTTACCCGTTAGACATCATTTCTCCAAATATTTTTGATCTAACACCTTTTGGCAGTAAAGTGTGGTTGACCAAACGTGCATTGCACACGTGGATGGAAGGCGCGGATCATCAAGTGTGCATTTCGTCCGACATGACGCCACTAGGGTAAAGCGCAAATCTTCAGGCGCGCCTTCGATTCTCCTTTACTACCGTCCAACTATCCTTTCCCCTTTAATTTCATCCGTCTCTCTTCCCATCCACATATAAATACGCCATCATACAACCCCAAAACCACACCAAAATTTTTCTCGTCTTCCTTTTATCAATCATTTTAGTGAACTTTATGTAAGTTCTATTATTATTTTTATAAGGTAAAACTTTCATTATTATATTATAATCATTTAATAGTTTATTATTTTATTATATTTTATCGTACTAATTTTTTTTATTTCTTTTTGCAGTTATAAAATGGAAAGATGGTTAGTGCATTTAGATGGAAATCATATCTCCCATCATTTTGCCGATACGATAAAAAAAATAAATTGTGTTTTTTTAATTATTGTGAATGTTTTATTTATTTATTTATTTTAGTATTAGTTTAGATTTTGATTTATATACTATTTATTTAATTAGGGGAATGACCGTTTATTAGATCCATTTATTCATAATGTTAAGTTAGAGATATCGAATCGTGTCTGGCCATATTTAGCAGATGTTGGATTCGGTTACATAGTGAGATATAAAGGACAATGTAACCTTGAACTTCCCTTTATTTCTGCACTGATTAAGAGGTGGAGACCAGAGACACACACAATCTATCTTTCATGTGAGGAGTGCACTATTACGCTGGAGGATATTTCTATACATTTGAGGTTTCCAGTAGATGTGGATGTTATTTCTGGTGTGGTGGATGGTGATTGTCATTCTTTGTGCGAGGAGTATCTTGGAGGTATTCCGTCTACTTTTAACGGTGGTCGAATACCGTTAACATGGTTGGCTACAAATTTTAAAAACTTGAGTGAAGATTGTTCTAAGGAACATGCTAAAAGATTTGCTCGAGCTTACATATTACAACTCATAGGAGGAATCTTGATGCCCGACAAATCTCGTAACCAAGTTCATTGTATGTGGTTGCGTCCACTCGATGATTTTTACATTGCCGGCTCACTCAGTTGGGGATTAGCAGTTTTGGCATCTCTGTATAAAAAAATATGTCGGACAACTGATTATAAAAAATGCTATCGACAAATGTCTTATTCTTCTCCAATCTTGGGTGTGGTATCACATGTCTTTTTTTATGTTCAGTAGTGAATAACATGTTGATCTTCTTGTTATTGTTGAGGTAATTTCAATACTGAGTTCATATATAAATAATTTTTTGTGAGTATATAATGAAATATATATTTTTACATCGAATAGGTGGTCATTTAGAATTAAAGATCATCATGATATACCAGACGAATTGGAAGAAATTCAGCTACTCGTTTATCTTAATGCTAGTTCATAGGTATGCATTTAAATTTTATTATTTACCTTTAATTATCGTTATATAATTAGAATATTTTATTTATAAGGATTATATATATTTGTTTTATTTTGAATGATCTCCTTAATCTACTAAAGAAATGAGGTTGTGCATGTCACCTCACTTGATTGGCTTATCAGATGTATGGATGATGGTGGTCCCTCTGATATGTTATGTTATTATCGAGTGACATCCTGCTGATCTCGTTCTCTACCAATTTGGCTTCGTACAATATATTCCTGAAGTTCCTAGGACTATCGATCATCTGCATAACATCGATAGACGGGACAAAAAGAATATCAACTGGCTGATAAAGAACAGAGAGTGGATAATAATATAAGAGGATCGACGTGGATGCATTCCCCCTAGGAAGTTGATTTATGTGGATCATTATTCGATTGCGGTTAACTATTATCAGTGATTCAACAAGTTCAAGAATTCATTCATGTTTTACGAGGAAGCATGAGGCATGAGCATTCATTGGCGCCGAGAAAAACGTCCACCGTCACATCATCATCGTTTCCCGACTCGTGGACGGAGAGCAGACGCTTCCAGTTCGTCCTCAACTGCCCGATAGCAACCATCACAGCATGCAAAATCTACACCGGTTTACATACCCAACCCACCAATATACATTGGTACACCGCCAGTTCAGTTGGCACCGCCGTCGTTTCAGATGACATAACAACCGATTCAGATGACACCGCAACCATTTCATAAGCCATCGTAAGGTTTTATGACACCTCTTGTCGGACATTATACTGCCATGCCTATGTATCAAGTGTGGGCTTCATATGCTGCTTATTTGGTGGGTAGTGCTTCACCACAAACACATACACCTCTGGCTCAGTATGGATCATTGTCTTTGATGTCGATATTTTCACAGTTTTCACATTTCTCTATGAGCGGTGGGATGGTTAGTTATACACCTCAAGGGTCCTTATTCTATGGAGGTGTTACATCGTCATCCATCCCTCATAAAAAAAATGTAGCCGCTACTGATGATGACGACGATGATGATGAAGAAGATGATGATGAGAATGAGGAGGAAGAGCAAGTTATACGAAGAAACCTACATTAGAATAGACAACCACCGCCCTGTGGAACACATTCAAGATGCAGACATCGATAGACTTGTTTAGTTTGTAATGTTTTTATTTAATTTTCTTTGTTTATCAGCAAACGTAATGAATTATGGACTTTTTATTTAAATTGTTTTTTAATATTTTTATTATTTAATAACAAAAATTGAGATTTTAGAAACCATAATTACATCGTGATACTCAACGGTTACGTGATGTTAAAAGAGATGAACATATTTTTCTATTGTGGCCTAGGTTTATGCAATGACCACATCTTTTGTTTTCTTTGGACATCTCTCGAATATCCATATCACAATGAATTCAAGTGGATTTTGGTCGACCTGACTCCCTTAATAAGTACGAATTTAGTACAATCGAAAGCCAATTCTGAACCTCGACCTGGCTCTCGTACATTACATCATATTCAACTTCATACATGTGTGCTGGAGGTTCGGTGTGTATCGTATTTATGGGAACTTCATCTACATCATCATCATCATCGAAGTCCATGTTAAACTACGGTGATTCATGATCAACGAATAGTCTAGTCTCAACCCCATTCTCACCTGATTCACGAAGATATTCTTCTGGTGGAGATGAGGGTTTCTCTGTGACGTCAATATTTATTTCAAACAAGCTGACAGTTGAATTCATTCCCCTTGAACTTGAAGGCATCATGTCCAAGGGGTTTTAAACTGAGTGTTGTGTCACAAACATCTCCACATTGACGTCGAAGAAGCTCGCAATTGAATGTCTCCCCCCTAAAACTTGAAAGCATCGTGTCAAATGGGTACTGAATAGATTATTGCGTCGAGGGCAACTCCATATTCAGGTCAAAGAAATTGGTAGATAAATGCCTTCCCCTTGAACTGGAAGCGATGTTGCTATACAGATTGTTCGTGGAGCCACCTCGATAGAGATCGTAATAAGTTGCTGATGAATGTCTCCCCATTGAACTTGATGGGATGGTACCAGGATGTGGATTTCTCATTAATGAGTTAAAATCATTACACATTACTTGAGTTGGGATGTCAACTTGATCAACTTGTTGAGCCAACCTATAGTGAGAGCATAATGATATACCATAAATCGCACATACTTCAACAAATGTAGCATACATTTGTGTAACAACGTCTGAATTTTGATTATGAACATCAACCATCATAGCAACATCGTCATCATTGGAGAGTTTAAACGTTGTATAAGTTAATGGAAATAGTGATGTTGAAAATCTGCACTAAAGTGATGACAGTCTTCTAGTGCTTCTAACATGGACCTTCTTTGAAATTTTAGTTATTAGCTTCTCAAGAGTGATGTTTCTCTTGAAGGATAAACTGACAGAATGATTTGATACGAAGACAACGCCGGTTCCATCTTCCCAAACTTCTCCATCATAGAAAACAATAGTTGAAATACACCTCATTTTGGGAGTGAAAGATTTAAAGTCTTATATATGGAAAAAAAAAACAACGTTAATTGTTTCTAATATATGAATTAAAATATAAACTAATACTAAAAATTTAAAATATCCACAATAATTGAAATAATACAATTTAATATTATTACCGTATCGATAAATACATCGAGATACGATCTCGCCTTCTATTTTACAACAACAAAAAGAAATAAAACATAATTAATATAATAAAATTTGGTTAAACAATTCAATATGAAATAAATATAATGTGATAAAAATAATTTTTCCTTCTAAAAACTATAAAAACTTCTACTTAGCTTAATAAAAGGAATTGATAGAAGAAGAATATCGCTGAATTTATATGTGGTTCGATTGTCGGCCTGAGTAAATAATTAAAGGGACAATAATTTTGGGGAACAATAGAAGATGTGAATCATTATCTGCGCCTTCCAGCACGTGTCAGAATCCCAGAGAATGTACGTATGAGGATCCACACTTTACCCCCGTGGCGCCAATTCAGACGAAAGGCGTGCTTGATTATCCGCGCCTTCTATTCACGTATGCAAGACACACTTGGTCAACCGTACTTTACTATCAAAGGGCACTAGATCGATAATATTTGAAGAAACGATGTCTCCCAGGTAAAAAATATATATTTGAGTAAAATGGCCTTTTTACCGACACGTGTATTTTAAGCGAGTGGAAAAGTAGGGGAGAATTGTGACGACTGGTGTTGGGCTGGTCACAATAAAAAAGCCTACGAGGCTTTGAAAGTAATCGCGAAGCAATTACTGCTCCTCTGGTCTTCATCTTCTCCTCCTCGTCTTTGTTGGGATTTTCGGTCCTTTCTCTGTCTTCAGCTCTTTTTTTCGCTTTTCTTATTTGGTTGCTAAGTATTTTGCTCTTTTTATTCGTCTTGCTCTTCTTCTTGCAGGATCATTTGAAGAATTTATTAAATTACGCATCTCGATCAATCGTTTTCCAAATTCCGTCTGCTTTTTTCATAATAATAGATTTCAGGTATGCATTTTATTGATATATCCCCTCTGAATCCGCTTTCTTGGTCACTTGTCCTGCAAAAGTTTCTGCTGCTTTTAAGCAATTTTCCGAGCTTCATTCTATTTTTAGGCGTCTTTTCGTAATTTGATCTGTACCTTATTGCTGGAAGATGATATTCTTTTTTTATATTTTAGGTTTTTTAATTAAAAATGAAAATATTTTACTGTGAAGGATGGAGAACTTGAATGTAAAATTTGAAGGTAAGAATTTTGATTTTCTATTTGCGTCTGGTTGATCTATAATTTATTCTTTACAGTTTCTCTAAAGACATAAGGCTTCTAGTGTTTTTTTTCCCTTTAAATTTGTTAGTTTTTAGGGTATGCCTGTAACTTTTTTCTCTCCCAAAAGCCAGTACTTTTGCATTCAATCTCAGCCACGCTGGTACTTCGAGGGTTTGATTGTTGCTCGAACTGTTATTTTGGCTTATGAGCTTCGATTCAGCTTGAGCAATCCGGGATCCCCAGTAATTACATTTCTAGGGTTTGCTAGCGGTTCGAAGGATTTTATTTGTCACAACTAAATACGGTTTCCCTTATTTCTTTATTCGATTCTTTTAAAGCTGAACTTGTGAACAATCATTTCTAATTATCTCCTTTCCCAAATTGTATAAATTAGTAAGAAATCCCAAGAGAAAAAATGGAAGGACCTGGATGTGTGACGATATCTGAAAACTCATTCCCGGTGTATCTTCTCCCTGTAATATTACTTATCCTCTTAAATCTCCAAATATTCACTTACCTCCCTTTGCTTGCTAGTGAGCACTTTTGATTTCGGTCTCTCTTGATTCTAGTCATGTTGTAAAACCTGATAATTGTTTGTGCATCATCTTTAGCACTAAATGTCAGACGGTAACTCACAAGGTTTCATTTTTGTTGTTTTTAGGGCAGATCGGGTAGAAATTGTACCATCAAATGAGTATCAAGAGTTTGGGCTAAGGAAACCTTATTCTGCTTTTGATCATTTGGGCTTTCATTCATGATTGGGAAAATGGTCGAGGGTCCTAATTTTACGGGACTCATAGGAGGAACCAACAACAACGATAACAATTACTATGATTTTACTCAAGGGTTTTACCAAAAGCTGGGGGAGGGCACTAACATGTCTATTGACAGTTTACAGACAAGTAATGCTGGTGGATCTGTTTCAATGTCGGTTGAAAACAGTAGTGTTGGTTCTAATGATTCTCTAACCCACATTTTAAGCCACCCTGGTCTAAAGCCTGTGAACCGCCGCAATTACTCTGTCTCTGTGGGGCAGAGCGTGATTCGTCCTGGTAAAGTTGGGCATGCACTTAATGATGATGCATTAGCACAGGCATTGATGGATAATAGGTTTCCAATTGAGGGATTATCGAATTATGATGAGTGGACTATTGATTTAAGGAAACTTAACATGGGTTCAGCTTTTGCTCAAGGAGCCTTTGGGAAGTTATATAGAGGTACATATAATGGTGGGGATGTTGCGATTAAGATATTAGAAAGGCCTGAGAATAGCCCAGAGAAGGCACAAGTTATGGAACAGCAATTTCAGCAGGAAGTTATGATGCTTGCAACACTGAAGCATCCAAATATTGTTCGATTTATTGGGGCTTGTCGCAAACCTATGGTTTGGTGCATTGTGACAGAGTATGCGAAGGGTGGCTCAGTTCGACAGTTTTTGACAAGGAGGCAGAATCGTGCTGTGCCGTTAAAATTGGCAGTTAAGCAGGCATTGGATGTTGCTAGAGGGATGGCCTATGTGCATAGGCTTGGGTTTATTCACAGGGATTTGAAGTCAGATAATCTTCTAATAGCTGCTGATAAATCAATAAAGATTGCAGATTTTGGAGTCGCACGTATTGAGGTGCAGACTGAGGGCATGACACCAGAGACAGGGACGTACCGTTGGATGGCTCCGTAAGTCTTTTGACCCGTATATGTTGAAGTTTCTAACCCTTTTACAATATGCCATTTATATGTTTTTGTTAAGAAAATATTGATGGCAGTTTCCATCTTTGTTAGATGATTCTTGCTAATTTTCATGAACACAGATTTTTCTTTTCCTTTAAAAGAAGACCCATAAGGATGTGCATTATTTCTGTTTCGATTCCTACCCCTTTGAGTGATTAACTTTAATGATTTGCTGATTATATTTGATATTCTTCTGTTGTGAGTTACGTTAGTAAGTCTTGCTGTTAAGTTTCTGGTATTTTCTATTTTCGTTTTTTGAGCTTGTAATTATGTGTTCTGAGCTTTCTGTTTGAGATCATCAACAAAAACCTGTCTCGTTTACATCATTATTTGAATTCTGAATTTGATTATGAAGTTCTTCGACTTTGTTATGCATACTAGCAGTTTCATTCTAAAATCGTTGATGCATTTGTTTTGACATTTAGTTTTACTGAATTATCTTTTACGTGAAACTGCATTTAGCTGACCAACTGAATTGGTACCTGAACTGTATTTGTTAAGTATTTTATACGTTTTTGTTCATTATTCATATTAGTAGTTATCTTTTGTTCTTGCAGAGAGATGATACAGCATAGACCCTACACGCAAAAGGTAGACGTGTATAGTTTTGGAATAGTCCTGTGGGAGCTTATCACTGGCTTGCTTCCTTTCCAGAACATGACTGCAGTGCAGGCAGCATTTGCTGTGGTGAATAAGGGTGTAAGGCCAGTTATTCCAAATGATTGCCTCCCTGTACTGCGTGAGATCATGATGCGTTGCTGGGACATTAACCCTGAAGTCCGCCCTCCCTTCAATGATATCGTGAAGATGCTTGAGATTGCTGAAACAGATGTACTGACAACTGTTCGCAAGGCCCGGTTCAGGTGTTGCATGACTCAACCTATGACAATTGACTGATCCAGAACAGAGAACAAAGGAAGAGAGGATATAAATGGAAATGCAAGGGAAGCAGTAGGAATTTAAATATAAATTCATGTATGTATCAGTATTTTACATTTATCTTTTTTTACTTTATTTTCCAGGTAGAAGGTAAGTTATTGGGTTCAGAGTGCTGGTTGATGTGAATATATGTACTTGGACATGGGGTGTTGTGGTTTTAGTAGTAAGGGGATCATTGACGTGGTTTCCTTGTGTAGCTAGCTACATATGTGGGAATGCCATATTTCCATTGTTTAAGTGCAGGTTCTCAATTGGATGAGCCTCTTGTTCCGGTTTTCTTTACTCTCGTTTTTATGATTTTGGGTTGTGAAAAAATAAGTATGTTTTGCCTTTCAATTTGTATATGCATAAAGGAAGTAACTATGGGTTCAACAGGACATTCAATACTGGAAGTGAACCAACCTTTGCTATCACATGGTTATTAGTTACAGCATACCGTGTTCATGAATGTAGGCCCCGATTCATCACTGAACTTTAACCGTCTAAATAGACTGCATTAGGTGGAGAGCTGATAAGATTTGGGTTTTAAAGGCCCAGCGAACATAAATTATGGTCTTGCTTAGTATCGTTTTAGGTAGGAGTGACTATTTGAATCCTTGATCAATTCGTATTATTTTATCTTTTTTTTTTAATTTTCAATCAAATCAATTTGAATATATTTATTTAATTTTTATTTAAATTCGAATGTAATTGTTTATGCTGATTGGTTATAATTTAAACAAAATAAATTATAAAATATAAAATTAAAAGATTCAAGTATAATTTTTTTTAAAAGAAATCGATGTGATAAAGTACTATATTATTTAGAGGTGGTAAACGGGTCATTTAGATAGGATTTGGGTTGGGTTAGTCAATTTTTGGGGTTGGTTGATTATCGGATCGGTTGTTTTTCGGTTTGGATCAATATCAGATCTAGTTTGAATCTAGTTTAGGTGTATGGTAAATCGAGTCGAGGATCGGGTCAGTCAATTTTCGAGGTCAGGTGATTATCGGATCGGTTGTTTTTCGGTTTGGATCAATATCAGATTTGGTTCAAATCTAGTTCGGGTGTATGATAAATCGGATCGGGTATCGGGTCAGTCAATTTTCGAGGTCATGTGATTATCGGATCGGTTATTTTTCGGTTTGGATCAATATCATATTAGTTGATTTTTGGTCCAAGTCAATATTGGATCAGTTAGATTTCGGGTTGGATCAATATCTGGTCGAGTCAATATCGGATCGATTGATTTTCAGTTTAGGTTAACCTTTATATTAAGTCAATTCGGGTTGAATTAATTATGAGTCTAATCAAGTATATATACAATTATCGATATATTCTTGTAAAAAATGTCTTATTGTTTGTTAATCTAATTTATTAGGCTTAATTTCAATTATCAATCGTTTAATATTTTGAATTAAATCAACATTTAGAGATGATAAATCAATAATTTGACACAGATACGATCATATAATGTGTGTTAGAATTTGTTATCAAAAGTTTATATTGATTTTGTATGAAAAGTTTATAATGATAACTATTTGATAAAGAAATAAAATTTTTATTAAATTTTTTCCAATTATAAATTTTAAAAATAATACATTAATGTATTTATTAAATTTTAGTCGTAAAATAAGTAAATTTTATATTATGTTTATTATAAATCTAATATTATTTTTTTAGTTTTAGTTTTATTTTTATTATAACTTTAATATTTTTATTTCAATTAAAATAAGTAAACTTTATTTATTACTGTTTTCAATCTTATAATTAGATCTTACTTTTATATTCCTCTTATGTAATAACCTAAGTAAACTTTCTATTACTTTTATTTATTTTTAACAAATTATTATTTTTATTTAAATTAATTTATTATTCGGTTAGGATTAATATCTGTTCTGGTTGCTTTCGGGTCGCGTTAAATTCGATTCGGGTTGCTTTCAGATCGGGTTAAAATTCAGTTCGAGTTAATTTTGGTTTTGGTTCAGATTGATTTCGGTTTCGCTAAATTTTGGGTCGGGTATGAGTCAGATATCAGATCAAATTTGATTATCATATTCGAGTTAATATCGGGTATTGGGTTGGCTAAATCGGTTTGAATAATCGGATTCAGATCAAATTTACCAAGTCTAATATTATTTTTCAGAGGTCTTACATTTGAACAGATGCGTTTGCGGTTTGTATGGTGGGCATACTATTCAATAAAAATTAAATATTTGAATCTTTGACCAAAATTGGAGTCACTCATTGGAATATAAATTTTATTTAAATGGAATATTAATTTATATACAATTTTATTTTAAAATATATTAAAGGAACTCCCTTACGATTCTTATGTTGACACCATCTTTTTTCCTTTTTCATGATAATTCAATTATTTGTAAATAAAATTCTTCAAATTTTATATCTTGACAAGTGTTTAAAGATAGGGTAAAGTACACAAATAGTCTATCGATTATAGGTGTTGCTTTGTTAAGTTTTTCGACTATTGAAAGTTATAAAATGATCATTTGACTATAATATGTTACCTTTGTTGAGTCCTCATACTCTTAAAAGTTATAAAATAGTCAATTGACTGTTCATATATTTCAAACTCTTCATTTTTTGTTAAAAAATTGACGGTCGTCTGAGCTAGATGTTAACACACTCACTAGAATATAATAAAATTTGATATCGAAAATGTTTGAGTTGTATTTTATAGATTGAAACTCTCTTTATATTATGTTGTTGAGCCAGTGTTTGAAAAGACCAAGGATATAAGTAGATATCATTAAAATATGATTCTATCATATCAAATTCAACAGCTTAACTTCCAACTCAGAGGATTGTCAACTTTTTAACAAAAAATGATGAGTTTGAAACATATGAATAGTCAGTGATTATTTCGTAACTTTTAATAGTCACAGACTCAACTATTGAAAATGTATACTGTAAAATTCACACGTTAGCACTAATAGAACAAATAAATAATAATAATAAACAATCAAATTAACCGAAATTGTGTTGTGGTGATAACCAAGTCGAACAGAAGACGACGACGCACAAAATTACCCATTGTTCTCTATCACTTAACAAGGGAGGGAATAATGCACCCTATAAATACCCAAGCCAGTGGTATTTCCCACTCAATGTGGGATAATGTATTTTTTGTGTTACTAACATCAACAAAGCAACGTCCTATAATTTGAAAATTCGTTTTATAATTTTTAATAATCAAACAAAATAATACCCTATAATCAAGTGACCACTTGTATACTTTACCCTTAAAGATACAACTGTCATTTCAAGAGTTTAATTAAGAAAGCTAAAGATATTTATGATTAAATATATCATTCTAAAGCATTAACAATTTATCTTGCGAAGTCCTTGTTGAAGAGAAAAAGAATAATATTAAAATAAGACGGAATGCGGGGAAGGGCTATCAATTTTACTCTTTGAGGTTTAATATATGTACAACTTTTACATAGTTTTATGAATTTTTTAAAAACAATTTATTACTGTTGTTATTTCTTATATAAAGAAAAATTCTCATGGTGCGTTTAGTTTACGGAATGTAAGATTACTAGGGAATAGGATTATTGGAAATGTTATATTTTGTATTTGGTTGGCTTAGCAGGAATGTAAGATTATCGTGTTTAGTTAAAAGAATAAAAGATTATTGGAATGTATATTTGACCAAATTGTCTTTATTATATATTTATATAATATTACAAGTTGGAAAATATTTATATATTTTCTTAAAAAAAAATTAAATTCATAATATTTATATATTTTTTACAAAATAAAAAATAAAAAAAAGTTTAATGAAAGGGTAAAATTTTATTTTAACCTTTGAACTTCATATAAAATTTTAATTATAGATTTTTTTTTGTAAATCTAAAATAATTTAAGGATAAATTTGTAATTTAACTTTCGTAGAATTTTTATTATTCAATGATAGAATAAATATAATTTTGAAAAAAATAAAAATTTAAGGGCATTTTAGTCCAAAATGCCGGTAATCCAACAATACCTAAGGAAATGGAGGTAATGACATTCCCGGTAATATACCCCAAAAAATTCACTATTAATAATCTTACATTACAGGAAATAGGATTCCTGGACTAACCAAACAGGAAAATGTGAATTCCATTACCATGGAAATCCCACATTCCTCTACCCAAACACCCCCTCAATGCTATGCGGAAGGGAAACGATACAAGTAAATTTATTAAAGTAAAACTATAAGACAAAAATAATACGATAAAAAGCGTATTTTTTTTCATTTTCCTTTTTTTATTCTTTCTTTATTCCTTTCCCTCCTCACCTCATGGCTGCCAGCCAAGAAATCAAACGAATCGAAAAAGGAAATGTCACATTCCAAGGCCAACTTCTACGCCACTCAATGCATCTTCCACTTGTTATGTATTTACACATCTTAAATACTAGAATAATAGCATTTTTAAGATACGATAATTTTTTTCTTCTGAAGAACATATGATTAAAAAAAAGCTTAAACCATAATTACCGACACTTTTTAAACATGCTCTTTTCAAATTTGAACTTAGCGAAACTATTCTTTCTCGAATGCCTCCTGCTAAGGTCGTCTGATATAAGGGTAGGCTGCAGGATTTGCCAATGGTGCTGGGAATCAAACAAAGAAGCCTTTCCCCTGTCTTTGAGTTAATTTTCAGTCTTCCGTATAAACTCCCATTTTGTATTATGTATAAATAAACAATCGAAGTTGAACCATTCGCATTTGATATATAAAATTGGAATCCAATGCCAAATTTAAAAGATAAAAGCTTTATTTCAGATCTTCTCTAAACATATTGTGCCAACAAATTGAGTGCTAAAAGATGAGATAAAATAGCTCATTCATAACCATTGTATCCCAATTTCATGCCATGGTAATCACTCTCAAATGACCAGATAAACTGACAACCTAACATGATCCTTGATGGATACCAATCCATAAAAACATTGTTTCTCTTGGCTTCGAGACTGTCATGGAAGTCAAACTAGAGTACTCCAACAAAATTGCAAAGAAACTAAACCTCCACAGGTTTCAGTTCAATGGTAAAGAGGTTTATGCAGCTGGTGCAACGGATGAAGGTCCTAGATTTTTACCCTTTCAGATCCTCCTGTTTAAAGGCAACTCCGATTCATCAAATTGCCCCTGAGAAACAATAGCCTTTTCAACTTCGATCTCACCATCTCCATCTTCTGAAGAGGAAGATTGAGCATGATCAACAAGTCCTTACACGAATAAGCTCATGCGTAAATAAAAGTTAACAAGAGGGTGATTACCTCAATAAGAATAATTACCTATTAGCAGAGAAGCAAACCATCTCACAGGCTCACAGCCATAAACCTCACTTATATTATTAAGCATAAGTATCAAATCATCAAAATAGAACAAACACACTATCTTTTCAACATATGTAAACAATCATAGGCGACTGATTAAAACATGCACATGTAATGAAGAGTTTACCTCTGCGTGCTAACAGGGGGAATGATCATAATAACTATTTTCTTTTCAAATATTCCTCAGTAAGGCAAATCAGATCTCAACTATGTCAATTTAGAAATATAAATACAAAGTACCATATGAATCTCATAAGTAAGGCAATTAATTTGACAATAAGTTCGTCAATTTAGAAACGGGAAAAGATAATGACCGATATTATCAAACCACAATCTTTTTCTGAAAGTTGAAAGTAAATAGTCTCATACAAGATATAGATAAATATGTTAATCAAGTTTCGTTTCAGGGCATTACGGAAAACAATCACAAATACATCAAGCACAAATTTACCTTACATACTAGATGGTTCTTTTTCAAACAGTGAAGAAGTTGAAATCAACACAAGCATATGCCTGTAACAGAAGAACTTTTATGGATTAAACTCTTCCAGCTAAAGAAATAAACTCCCCCTTTCCTACCCGACCCCTTTTATCCCTTTCCAAACAAAAAGGAAGATAAAATGAGGGGGAACAGAAAAAAGCCAGAAAGGTTGCCTACTTCCTAGAGCATATGAGGGCAGTGAAAGGAGAGCAAAGGCCATGCATCCTCTCTTTACCCTGTAAAACTAAGAAAGTGTAAAAACAACGCTAAGAACTATCCTAAACTAAATCTACTAAGGACACATATATCCAGAAGTTGCACGTTTCAGTAACCATAATCCAAAGATTCCCAAGTCATACATTACCCCAGACAAGTTAAACCAGTCAGTCAACTTCGCCAATGTTCTTCACAAGTGCACTTCCTCTTTCTTTGTTTCAGAGTCATCAGAAGCCTCATTGCTAGTTTCTTCACACCTCGACTCAACCTTGTCCTCTTCAACAGTCTTCTCCCCCACAAACTCGCCCTTGTCCTCTTCAACAGTCTTATCCTCCACAAATTCGTCCTTGTCTTCTCCAACAGTCTTCTCTTCCACGAACTTATTGCATCTGGCTTCATCAACCTCGGCATCATTTCCCTTGTCCCGAATAATTCCCTCCATGTCATCTTGAGGCTCTAACTCATCTTTCCTTTCACCATTTAGCTCATTTTGTCTTGCAATATCATCCATAAAAGCATCCATTAGAATTTCATCCCGTGGAATTCCACCATTATTGTTCTCCTCCATAACACAATCAACGTTTCTAGTGTTTTCAGCAGCAAATCCCAGCATTTCCACATTATTATGAGCAGCAGCACTGGTAACCACCCTAAGATCAGAGCCACCATCTTCACTCTCGTTATCTGATCCATTCTCCACTACCTCCTCATTAACATTTTCCACTATCTGACTCTGCCTTTCTAAAAACTGTAACCTCCTCTTCAAATCTCCCAATTCCCTCTCCATCAAAAACAACCTTTCTTTTAATGTCAAATTCTCTTCTTCCAATTGAGCTATATGCGTATCTTGATCATCCACTCTATTTTCCAAAACATTGTTATAATCACCTCCATAACTAGGATATATCATCTCGAACCTACTTAAATCATGATCCAATCTCCTCTCCACTTCCACGTGTTCTTCGACATCACTCTCACTTGAATCCCCACCATTTCCCCCATCCTCATCTTCATCGTCATCATGACCAGTTTCAGGTGAACGAAGCCGAATCAACCCTTTCATTGACCCATAACCATCTACACCCCATTCTTCCTTGGCCATGTCACCCAAAACCTCCCTTGATGGCGAAAATATTGGCGTAGGAAGAACAGCGGGAGTCACAGGACATGGCGACACCAAAGAAGCTATTCCACCAGAATTTTTTGCTCGGATTATAAACGAAGTTGTATTCCGCGGAGCATAAGGAGCAAACCGGTTGTTGCCGTGATTGAATTTCTTCTTGTTGCCGTAGAATTTTCTGGCTTTTAACCGGTTCTGATTTTGTAGCTCGTTAAGAGTTGGAGGCTTGTATCCTTGAGTATTACCCCCTGAATTAGCGGTCACAGAAGAAATAGCAGAACCAGAGCCCATGGATAAAGGCTTATTCTCAAATTTCCAAGAATCTTTACCGAAAGAAACCTTTTTGCCCTTCCAATTGTTATTACGATTGAAAGAAGAAAATTTCTTGTTAGGGTTAGGGTTTTGGTTTGGGTCCTGAGATTGCCAGGGCTTAAAGCTTCGATTCAACATCATCGGAGGACCAGAACTAACGGGCTGCGACTGCGCTGCCGCAAATTGGTTCATCGCCTGAGAGTGAGCCACCGACGCCATCAACTGATGAGACTGATTCATCATCTGCGGCTTAACTGGAACTTGGACATGGACCTTGTTCATCATCATTTGCGGAGGCTGATTCATCATCTGAGACTGATCGTTCATTTTTTAACAAAAGAAAATGAAAAGAACAACGAAATCAAATAAATCTAAAGAGAGTAAGGGATGAAAAGAGAGAAACCCTTATTCCTCAGTTTTAGAATTGAAATTTGTCGCCAGATCAAACGAATTACTACCGATCCGTTAATTTCCTTCGGTTCTTTTAGTTTTCTCAAAATTAAAAACTGGAAATTTTTAGATTCAATTGCTTTGAACTGAAGCCCTTTTACCCTAAGTTCCTCTCCTGAATCCCTAAATCTGGAAAAGTCTGATTGCCCAATGCAGCGGGGCCAATGGTTGCTTTTATAGGGGACCAGAAGAGTCTCTGGACGGTTAGATTTTCAGGATTAGAGATTAACGGCCAGATCTAATTCGCTTGTCGAAGCCAAGATCGACAAGCAATCTGTTTGTTAGACGGGATTTTCTTTTAGATCCTTGATTTTTTTAACATTTGCAGATAAGACCAGTTTCTTTGAAGAAATATATTTTTGCAGCATATCTTGTGCGAATTTACTATTTGACCCCTTTAATTTGATTGCTTACTTGTCAATTCCTTATGTTCGCTAGCGAGTTTCCAAATAAAAAACATAGTAATTAGTTTAATCGATAAGTTCTATTTTTTCTTTTAATTGAACAAAAAGAAAAACTCTATTTTTTTTTCTTTTACGTGTATTATTGTTTCGACGTGGCTTAAAATGATCATTCGGTTTAGTATCCTAAGCGATTTAAGATCTTCATTCGTTCTAATATCTTTGGTTTAATTTCTATCTGTGATTTTTTTTGGAGGGGTGTTGTGATATTTAAAAAAAATTATTAATTACGGTTTTGCTTTTTAAATAAATGATTTTCTGTTTATTTTATTTAAATATTATATAAAATAAGAAAAATAAAATATGATTATAACAGCCTTAATTTTTAATAAGCTCTTAAATGAAAAATAGAACAATTGAATCGTTATGAAGTAAAGTGCATCCGATTGAACCACTTCGTTGATAAAAAAATATTCGATCCTTTGCTAACAAAAATCGTCTTCTATTACTAACGGAAAATAATGAAAGCAACGATTGATTTTCTATTTGCTTCGTAAAAGTTTAATAATCTATTTGTTCAGGGATGAACGTAAGATTTTATGTTATAAGTTAAATTTGAACTTATAAAATTTTCGGAATAAAAACATAATTTTATTAAAAAAATACATAAAACAAATCTAAAATATATGATAATTTTAAATTTTTAGAGGGGTGACTACCCCACCCTTCTTACCTAAGTTCATCCCTAAATGTGTTTAATAATTAAGCACATATATAATTTTTTATTAAGATTAATTTAAAAATAATAAAATAATGTAAATATAATATTTATATTTTTAGTAACTTGCCGCTTGGGAATATCTTAGGCAAGACTTTTAGCAGGAAATGTATTATTTTGGTGTAACAGTTTATATTAATTGATCGATTAATCTGAATTAAATACTATAAAAATAATGACGATTCTTTCGATCTAATTTATTTCATTCACGAACGTTTGAATTAAACTTTTGACATTATTTAAAAAATATGATGTCTTATCTCATTAAACAATTGGTTGTTGATAATGGACACTTACAATGTAATTTTAGTTTAATATTTTAAGATTGGGTAGGGTGAAGCTAGGGAGATCAAGTCTTAGTCTATTTTAAAGATGTTCTTCAATTTCATTCAAAATTATAGAGTTAATATGCGGTAAAAATTATGCTTTGATTTTTAAAAATAATAATGTTATGATTTAATTATTATAAAATTATAAAACTATAAGTTAATAATAAAATTATGTTTTTATCTTCAATAAAAATTAATTTTGTATGATTATTAGTGTTGACTAGTGTCAATTAAATATAATTGACAACCTAATTATAAAGTAGTGTTTATATTTAAGGATTAAATATATAAAAAGTGTCTAACCTATGCCTTTGGTTTCAATTTAGTGCCTAACGTTTATTTCGTTCTAGTTTGGTACCTAACGTTTCATTCCGTTACTCATTTAGGTGCTCGGATCGTCAACGACATTAATTTCCCCGTTAAGTGACATGTGTCACAATCTGGTAATTTAAAAATATTAAAATTAAAAAAATTAAAATTCTATATATATTTTTAAAAAAAAGAAAACACAAATTTTGAAACAAACCCAAAACTTTGAAAACCTTCATTTCAACCTTTAAACTCACGTCGGCCATCTCCTTTTGTCATCGAAGAAGTTGCGCTCGACCTCCCCTCCTCTCGACGATCAAAACCCCTATGAAATCATGACTGGTCGATAACGAATCATTATTTTATAACCTCCTAACCCTAGGATAAAAATCGCGATTCCGACGACCAAACGACCGTCGATCGACCACAATTTCATGTGGGTTTTGGTCATTGAGGTGAGGGGAGGTCCGGATGGAACTTCGTCGACGGAAAAAATCAACAGTCGGCGTGGGTTTAGGGGTTGAAATGAGACAAGTATCATTTAACGAACAAACTTAACGGTCCGTCACGGCTTGACCCATTTTGAGTAACAGAATGATACGTTAAGCACTAAACTGAAACGAAATAAACGTTAGGCACTAAACTAAAACAAAAAACATACGTTGGACACATTTTATATATTTAAGCCTGTATTTAATGTTAAATCTGAATAAATTTATATACTCTTACAAAATTGAATTACTTACACTCAAATTACCTGAAAAATAAATATAATCCGGCATTGGGATCACTCCTCGAGTTGAATATGATGATTAATACCTGGAAAATAATTGGTGGGGTTACATTTAATCACTTGTCATATAAGTGATTTGGCAAAATAAATGTTAAATCCAAAATTAGGTAAAACTGATGTATCATATATTATTTTAAATGTAAATTTAGTATATTGACACATAAGCCTATCCACTTCTAGCGAATTATAAGATGCCATTTTTATTACATATTATTGTTTTATATATTTCAACGATCATATAAATATATTTATATTTGATGTATTAATAATATGTGAATATAAATCTGTGATTTATAGAATATGCGGTTAAAAGTTCTCAATTAATTTTTCATTTATTTTAAATCGTGGGTTTAATATTCATTAGGTATAAAATTCTTCTCTCTCGTCTTTTAAGTAAAATTTGTTCAAAAAAATATATAAATATATAATTAATCAATTAGATGATAATAAACTAATATATAATAATTAGAATATTATATGATATTAGCTAGAAAGTGTACCTAATATGTAAATAATTACATCCTCTTACAAATTACAATTAAAATGAACTATAATTTAAGGTGTATTTTTGGTTGGTAAAGTATATTGAGAAATATAATTAAATATTTTAATTATACTTACTTTTGCGAGATTTACAAATTATAATTATTATTTTAAACATATTACGATTAAATAATTCAACAATTACACCCAAATATAATTACTTGATGGTTTTCTAAACATAATTCGTTTATATTATATATTTATACAGATAATTTTGTGTGTGTTGCACTAGTATGTATATTAATGTAAATTATTTTGAATTGACAAGTTTAGTCCTTTAAATTAAATAATTTAATATTTTAATATGATTACAAAGTAATATATGTGTATGATTTTAAATATAAATACACATATGTATAGTTATAGACTAAACTGTTTGAATATAGACCATCTAGAGAAAATATGACATCCTTTACCGCTAAGATTCTAAACCATTTAACTATGAATGCTCAAACACCACTGTTTGTAGACGATGATGCTCAAACTTTGGACCTTTAGAACAACAAACATCCTTTTAACTAATAAGATAACTTAATTTATGTAATACTATAAATTAAGTTAAAAATGATGGTTTCTTGTGTAGCAAATGATCAACAAATTTTTTAGTTGGTGATAGATAATTAAAATAAAAAATTAATTAAAAATATTTTAAAAAATAATTCACGTATACCTCTCGTCTAATGAGACTCTTTTTTAGTTGTAAGACTCTTATATTTTATGCATGAGCTTGGCTCCTCTCTCTCTCTCTCTCTAAACACCTCTATTTGTAGACGTTGATACTCAAACTTTAGGCTTATAAGATAACAAACATTCTTTTAACTACTAAGATAGCTTAGTTCGTGTTGAAAACTGAATATAAAGCAATGAATATAACTGTTTTATTATATTTTTCTGCAACTACATCACTAGCTTATATAGGGATCTTATTTACTTCAACCTCACAACTAACTGTAACCTCTAACAACATTCATAACAAACTTTCCATACACTCTTAACAATCCTAACAACTCACACACATCAGCAAACCACACTCCATGCACACATTAGCATTCTATATACTCCAATATTCTCCCTACTCTTTTCCTTCTCATTGAGCAAATGAGAAAACCTGCACTTTGGGTCGAAATTGCTCAAACGAAGATTTGGACAATGAATTATTAAACCATTCGTTCTAGTTGAATCGGAAGTGCGATGCTTCCTTCAGTTCAACTTGAATCGAAAGTGCCGATGCTTCATTCTGTTCGATTTAAATCAGAAGTACTGATGCTTCCTTCCATTCAACTTGAATCAGAAGTGTCGATGCTTCCTTCCGTTCGACTTGAATCGAAAGTGTCGATGCTTCACTCCATTCGACTCAAATCGATGCAAACTTTTGATGTGAATGAACATTCAACAAAAAATTCTAAAAAAAACATATTCTATAACAACAATGTGAAACAAAACCAGACACCAGCAACATCATTGAAACATTTGGTCCACATCACCATAGAGTAAGTTTGCGGCCGAAATGCCTTGCTATACCAATTCTATGTAAGTAAACCTCACAACCAGGCTCCATACGGTTGTCATGTTTCACAGGAAGATCATAGTTGCTGACCAAATTAACCTGTTGTTGATCAAAACGTCGAGCAAGAAGATCCATTAAAATAAGGACTTGAGTCAAACCATCTTTAAACTATTTGATTATCTTGTCTCGGTCAGCTTGATTGAGAACACCTTGCATTGTGGTAACATCATAACTAAGCTCAACAAGTGATCTATGCAATGTACTAGCACGGTTCCTTGTGCGTACAAATATTATTGTCTGCCCTAGGCATTCTCCAAATTCAAAAATCCTCTCTTCGATCACCATAACCTTGGAAAGTTCATCTGGAACATTCACCTTGTACTGCTTCACCAACTCCAATGATAGTTCTTCCTTCTTGAAAAAATGTTGATTATGATCTCT